GCTCATTGGCTGTTCGTGCTCACTGACGTTGTTTTAAACCCCTATAATTCGTGTTTTAAAACCCTTAAAAATATACCAGCAGTTTTTACATTTTTTTATGCTGTTCTGTGTTCAGAAAATGAATGTATTCTTTTATATTAAAAATGTTTCAGCATTTATAAACTATGATTTTGCTCAAATGCTCCATATTAACCCATTCATTTTGGACTTGCTCAGGAGCGCCCTCTAGCATATGAGAAACCCGGAAGACGTTATAGAGCGCCCTCTAGTGGTAACTTTGTACTTTGCCTACTGTGATGATCAGCTGTGGTCTTTCTGACAGCCTCGTTTTATCGGAGAACGTTTCAAAATCAGGATAAGTCAAATAATTAGGATTTTTTTTTTTTATATGTGTACATTTAGTTTTTAGGTTTCAAATGTAACATTCTACATTTTATGTATTTTCAGTCATTTATTAAGACTGAAATCTACTGCTGTTTGATGTTTGGTAGGAGCCTTTATTCTGTTCCAATATTTCAGAAAACAGTTAAGTCACAAATACTGTTCATATACTGGGACAGAAACAAAGTAAATAAACAAAGTACAAGGCTATTCAGTTATTTATATGTAATGTTAGCCACTTTTTGGCACATTTAAAAAAAGAAATATCAAAACTGCTGCACAGAAAAATAATTCCCCCAGTGGTGAATGAGGTAACGTTAGGTTTGAAGCTTTTTCAGACATCCAAAACTGAAAAGCTGAGGGGGGGAGCTCAAAACCCCACTATAAACAAAAAGAGGCAAACCGGGCAGCCCAAGCTTAGAACTTACTCTAGGTCAAAAGCCTCAACTACAGTAAGACTAATTGTCAAATTGATGGTAACTTTTGATTTCCTGACATGGGAATATGGTCATTTCTTGAGTTACCATGAATGAGAAGCCTGAAGCACCAAGCTGTGTTTGATCAACCAAGCAGGTTAAACCGCATTAAAAGCTTGTGGTGTGCTCAGTGTTTGTTTTAATTAAATGGTGTGAAACTCTTTTTTTGAACTTGCCTCTTAACACATCTCGGCTCAAAGAATTCAATCTACGAGACGTTCTATTGCCCAACAATGTAATTATAAACAGGAGCTATAACAGGACTAGTTCTCAAACTGATGGTAACAGGCAGTGATTTCCAGAGTTACCGTAAATGAGAAGCCTGGAGCACCAAGCTAAGTTTGACCAACCAAGATGCAGCTTCATTTTGACACTGTAGTTTGAAATTTAGTTGTGATGATGATTTTCTGTTTGGTGTGATGTTTTTAACCTCAAGCAGCTCTACAAAAAACTTTCTCAGTTGTTTGTGCGGCGTGCATTGACACATCACGGCTCGATCGGTAAAATGAATCCATTCTCTAGTTGCACAGACAAATTTTCCAAAGTTATTTCCCAAGTTCATAGTATTTCAGAACCGGTCTTGACGTTGATGTTAAATGCTTTGGAGTTGCCACGTTAACTAGAACGCAGCTGTTTTACAGTATAAAACAACTTTCATACAAAATATAACTCTCTTTGAAGTCCTTCTCACAGCAAGCTTCCCTGTAGGGCCTGTGGCTTGCTGGTCCCCATCAGTAAAGCCTTTGCCATCAGTAAAGATGGCAAAAACAAAGACAAATGATAAAAAAAAAAGGAAGGCTCTCAGCAGGCCCTGTGGCTTGCTGGTATAAATGATGTTTCTACAACCAGAGGGTTGTTGGTTCAAGCCCCACTTTAGGGCTTTCATTTGCATGCCTTCATCAGTAAAGATGGCAAAAACAAAGACAAATGTTAAAAAAAAAGAAGGTCACTTGTGAGATCCTGTGGCTCACTGGTAGATGCCCTGCCTCTACAGTCTGGAGGTTCTCGGTTCGTATCCCGAGCAGGATCCTCACATCACGGTGGTGGTGAAACACAAACACACACACAGGGTGAAGGGTGTACGATGCATGACGTGCGAGGAAGGCCGGAGGGCGCAACCCAAGAACCAGGGGGGAAGGTATACCCGTCTTCCCCCCTGGGGCCCAGGAGAGAGGACAAGAGGGGGTTATGCAGCATTTTGCTGGAAAAAAAAGTTGCACTTAACCCTTTGGGTATGCAAAAATTCTACCTACTTGGACCATCCTCTTACTTGGCAAGCTGACTAAAATGGTACCCCTTTGATTGACATTCTTTTCTCCCCACACCCTTCCCTCTCCTCTCCTCCAGACTTGAACGCACAACCTCTCACATTTGAGGCCAAGGCTTTTCCCACTAAGCCACCAAGTTTCACACTCAACAGCCTTTTTTTGGGGGTTTGTCTTGAAGATTCCAAGACACACACAAAAAAATCTCATTTGCGCTCCTAAACATGCATCTTCTCATGATTCAAAGCCCATGAAGGCCAGAACATAGTTTGAGAAATGTGTGCTGGTAGTCTGTGCTGAACCGAGGTGTTCCTAATGCTTAAACAGGTGGCTGATTTTCAAATGCATCCCATGGTTTTCTAATGGGATCTAGACGTGTGCTCTCTATTGGAAACCAGTCAAACCACAAGTTTTATTTCAGAAAAATGAGTCTAGGTAAACACGAGTACGGAATACGGTATAGAAAAGCTGCGTGTGGATGAGGTGTGGATTGTCCATGGAGATCATCGCGACGATGACTCCGAGGTGCGGCGACAGGCCTATAGGCCGATACGCCGGCGCCACTGGCCGTTCGGCAGCCAGAAACCGGCTCGGAACCGGACGGTTCTGGACTTTACGCTTCTGCGCCTCCTCCTGCTTGGCAGCTGTGAGAACAGTTTGAGAAATGTGTGCTGGTAGTCTGTGCTGAACCGAGGTGTTCCTAATGCTTAAACAGGTGGCTGATTTTCAAATGCATCCCATGGTTTTCTAATGGGATCTAGACGTGTGCTCTCTATTGGAAACCAGTCAAACCACAAGTTTTAGTTCAGAAAAATGAGTCTAGGTAAACACGAGTACGGAATACGGTATAGAAAAGCTGCGTGTATCACTCAAGTTAATTTGCGTGTGAAGGCAGAAGAGCGAATACTTTTGGCAATATAGTGTACATTCACACACATCTAGAGGCAAGTCAGCATGTCCACTTCACCTGACTGCATGTCTTTAGACTGTGGGAGGAAACCCACACAGACACAAGAAGAGCATGCAAACTCCACACAGAAAGGGTCACACAGCCAGGAATCGACCCCAGGCCCTCCTTGCTGTGATGCAACAGCTCTAGCCACCACACTGCCCTTGTTAAGCACAATAAAATTAAAATATTAAGCAGCCATTTTACTCACGTTTTAAAGTAAAACCTCCAAATTAGATTCTACAGAGTACATTTAAAATAATCACTCATTTGAAACGTGCAAAAAGTGAAAAAATGTTAACCTGACATCACTGTAGGGCCTGCAGGGCTCACTCTGGTTTACTGGTTTAGTTTTAGGTCACAAGAGTTTTACTGAATGACTGCTTAGCTTTTGTAGTGTATAAAAATAGTAGACAAGCTGTTTTTGTGTGAGCAGGACTTTAGAGAGGAGATGTAGGAGAGCTGGCTGATGTGGAGAGAGAAAGGAAATGTGCAGAGGACTATAAGAACGCCATCATTTGGGAAAACATCTCTGTTAAATTCTTTATTTTTTCATCTTCTTTTACATCGTTTTCACTCCTCATTTCTTTTTCCATGACTTCGTTTCTAAGACTGGCTAGTCAACATTGCAGAATGGTTTTGTTGACATGAAAATCCTCATAGCAGCAACTCCACATTTTGCAGGTTAATTAAAAATAGTGTGACCATCCCAAAAACAGTACTACGGTGAACTAGGCTGAGCCCCGGATATTAACGCGCCCAGTCAGCACCCCTCTGGTCTGCTACTAATTAACAAAAACTACTTTGTTATTTAAAAAATGTCAGATGTTGACACTGGATGAATTTTGAGAAGCAGGAGTCATATGATAAGCAAGCGGGCAGAATGAAGAGTCATCAGGCAAGAATTACAAGAAAACAGCCAAGAACAAGACGCAGGTGATGGGGATAATGAGGGGCCGGAAAGTTCCAAGGAGATCCAGGATTTAAATAAATAATCAATTCCTCAGTGCAAGTCTGCTCCCAACAGTGGCCTAAAGGAATCATTGTTATATACAAATATTATATATAAAAAGGGTTCTGTTACTGTTACAATGTCAAGCTTTTAACAATAGCAGACCCCTTTTTGGTGCGATTAAGAACCCTTTTCAAAAAGGTTCTATACAGAACCAACTTCAGCACATTCTTCATTAATCTGAAGAACGCTTTCACGATGCAAAGAACCCTTTAATCATGCAAATCGTTCTTTGAGTGTTCATAGTTCTACACAGAACGCTGTTCTTATCTAAAGAATCCCTGAAGAACCATGTTTTAGTGTGCAAGTAATCAAATAAATCATCTTAACCTTCCCCCATTCAACTGCCCAACATCTTCACAATTTGATTGTTTTTCACTTCTGGGGTCTTTACTACACGATCTGGTGGTCGTCTGATGTCTGGCACGGACAAGTCGTCCCACCACGGACCTTAAAAATCTAAAAAAACACAACAGTTCTGAAGAAAAGCCAATCCACCAAGGAAGCGTTTAAATTGAAACACTTTATATCAGTTATAGCAAGAAAATGCAACTTAAAACAATACACAAATAAATCTGTGTTCTCTTCAAATATACAAAACCAAAAACTATAAATATCAACATTAAGAGTAAAATGTTCAAGTCTGGTATTTGGTGGGTGAATCAATTTGTGACAAAGATACCCATGGTAACATTAAATATCAATAAAAATCTTAAGATTAATAGCTTTGCATTTACAAGATTTTACTTTTAAAGCCAAAAGAAAATTAAAAGACAGTTGTGCTGAAGTGAAACAATAAAAGACTGAGCGGACAAAGAAATTAACACCACCAAATAGCTCCACAAAATAACAGGAATTTGAAGACAGATTTACTCCATTTCATTCTATAATTGGTTGTAATTAATGTGTAGAAAATCAGATACAAAACCAAGGTTCATTCCGTCCAGCTCTGGATTTAGACTCCAGAACTCGAAGCAAACGTTTTGACCAAAACTAAACTTACATACTTGTACGACTAACGAGAGGACGGTAGAAGCCTACTGCTAACAGCATGCAAACTGCACGGTTAACTGCTGGACATCAGCCTTCTGTCACTGTTTGGTCAAACTATTTGTATTGTATGGTGGTTCATCAAGAACACATTTCGAAAAAAGATTTTCAGACTAAAAGGTCGTATTCTGTACAATACTCGGAGGCACATCACCGTGCATGCATAGACTTCAAATTCTGAGAAATACAAAACCGACTCAAGAGCTTTCTCCTTCCATCTCACGGCAAATATACGTTTGGAAATCCATCCCAATCACCCATTGTACACAGAGTTCTTGAATAAATAAAAGACAAAAGCCTATTTACTCTCTTTTGGCAGAGCAAAAGTAACAGCCTATATGAAGATTAAAAAAAAAAACCAAAAGAAAAACAAAAACAAAATCAGACAGCAAAGACTAACATTTCAACATACAAAATAAAGTAATTCCGTTATTACATGCCATCGGACTCCATCATTCATAAGTTACAGTAATGTATTTTAAGCTTCAAAGAAACAATTATTAAATATTTTTCTCATTTAATGCATTTTCTGGCATTGGCTAGTAAAGGAAATCTAATGGAACGGAAGCAAAGAAAGCAACAAATAACATAGGACCAAAAATATGAGAACATGACAATGCATCAACATAACACAAGTAAGTTACAGAATGATTACGCATTTAGAAATGTTTTAATGCTCTGAAAGAATTACCTATAGGTGTAAAAAGAATAAAAATTTAGTAAGAAATCAAAAACAAAACAAAACAAAAAAAAAAAATCAGTACAGTGTTTGTACGCTAAGCACGGAACAGAGATGGATCACAGGCAAAATAACACCTTTAGACTAAATGACCCCTATCTATCTATGTGCAATACGAAGAACGTTGAGGTTTAAGGAACAGTCTCTTAAGGCACGTTACCAAAGTCACACAACCATCTGATTGCTAACAGGGACACTGACAGCCGAAAAAAGGCTGCAGATCATCAGCCGTGAGTTTCTTAGCCACCACACGAGATGTTTCTGTTATGAGAAGCAAAAAACCACTTCAATGGTGATCTCAACTTTGAATAGCATACTGTAGCTTTGTAATGACAAGGGCACACCACTGGCTACTCAATAAGGGTAATAATTAATATGCATATTTAAAAAAAGGTGTACTATAAACACAATATACATCTGGTTGTGAACTTCGTAAAAAGGTTTTGCACACTGCACTGGTTTTGTGGGACTTCACATGAAAACAGCTTGCACAGCTTTAGCATTAAAAAAAGCTTTGTAGAAAAGCAACGTAAATCTCGTCATCCATTCACCCACCCATGCAGTCTTTATCTGCTTCCATCACTCATACTACTTCGAGGTCCTTGTACGTTTCGAGGGAGTGGATAAGGGTTCACTGCCTCTTTTCATGGTGGTTTTAGGAGATCCAGTTTGTGCAAGGGTAGCTTCAATCTTTCTCTGAGACCTAGTCAACACCTGGTCTTCTGATTTCAGCGGTTTCACGTCTGCAGTTTGAGACGGAGAGGCCAAACTTTCTCGACCTTTAGGGGAATGAGATTTTTTAACGTCTGTTTTTGTTTGTGGAGACTTGCTGGTTTTCAGCAGGGTCTCCTTCCTGCTTGGGGATTTAGTGTCTGCTGCAACGTTCGTTTCAGATACTTTAGGGAGTGCCTTCTTTGCTGGGATCCCAGCTCTGTTTTTCAAACCTCTCAATGCTCTGCTGACACTGCTCTTGGGGGTCTTCTCTTTTACAGGAGATTTGACTTTTGCTTTTTTAGCCAAGGCTTTCACCTTCTTGACAATGGCAGACCTCTGTCCTTTACCTGTAGACATCGCTTTAGAGACATTCTTTGGCATCATGCGCACCTTTTTTGTCTTGTTCAGTGAACGCTCCAGCTTCTTCAACGTGTTTTGTTGAACTTGCATTTTCTCACGCATATTGGAATATTTCCTCAAAATTCTGGCACTTGCTGGGTTTTTAGCGTTGGCTGTCACCTTGCTGTGGCTCTCGGAGGGCTGTGGCTGGATCAAACCAGTATAGCTGTGAGGTTTCGTAGAGATTCGTGTAGCAGTGCTTGGTTCTCGTTTCTCTTTACCTTTTGAGACAGAGATACCCTGAGCTAAAGCTTTAGCAATTAGCCTTTTGTTCTTGGGGTTGCTCTTCACGGGAGATGCAATGGCAAACTTTTTCAGATGCTTTTTTAAGCGTTCAGCCTGCACGCTTGGAAAGACCCCATTGGAGGACCCTGGAACAGATGCTGAGGTGTGGAAACACAGCTGCGTTTCAGATGGAAGCCTGGTGTTCACCTTCTTAACAATGACGAGAGATTTCGTTTCAGTGGACTGCAAGAACCACCGACAAATACTGGGAAGGTCAAACGACTTCATGAACAGCATTTGCACAGGAGAGAACTTCTGCTGCTCCAGTGACCTTGGCTTTCGAATTCTTTTTTTGCTTTTCCATATTTCTTTCAATCGATCAGCCTTGTTTTTTGGTTTTGGCGCAGGCTGTCCCTCTTTGTCCATCTGAACCCACCCTTTCTGCATCTTATCAAATTTGGTGTTTAAATCTGAAATCAAATGTTGGTTCTCTTCCCCATTTAATGCCTCCAAAAACTTGGACGGACTTGGGGTTACAGGGGTGGTGGTTGGTAGGGTAACGGAAACAGAGTTATCTGACAAAGAAGAATCTTTTACTCGATCCTTAAGAAGTTTATCCGTTTTTAATTTGACCCTGTTGGGACTCTGTTCTCCTTCCAGGGTGGAGGAAGGTACAGTTGTTTTGCCACTCCTTAGAGGTCTTTGGGAAGGTTTCATGCTCTTGGGAGGTGTTGCAGAGCTGTCCATCTTTTCAGCAACAGATGCATTGCTCCTTCGCAATGACATACGCCCAGGGCTCTCCGAGACGTTTCCAACAGACGAAGTATTTCTGGATGGCTGTTCTGCTACTGAAGCATTTCCACTTCTTAGAGGCATGTGTCCGGTGCTCTCCGTTCTCCTACTCGTTGGGATGATGTCACTACTGGATTGTTCAGTGAGAGAGTTTGACACATCCTTGATCACGTTATCAGAATCTCCAGAAACATGCTGATTAACTGTGCTACTATTCCTGCTTCTCAAAGGCATGCGCCCCACACTGTCTGAACTGCTTCTACTGGGAGAGATGCAAGAATCTTTGACGATCTGCTCTGCATTACAGCTATCCCTCCTTCTTAAAGGCATCCGTCCCAGCCTCTCTAAACGGCCTCCAGCAGGGGAACTAGAAGGTTCTCCCCCAGTAGGCTGATCAACAGCACCACTGTTCCTGTTTCTCAAAGGCATTCGTTCTGAGGTTTTCGTACCATTTTTGACAGGTGAAGTAGAGACTTTACTAATAGGCTGTTCAATTTGATGACTACTGTTTCTAAGGGAGATTCTTTCAGAACTCCTTAAGGACTTGCCAGGAGATTCACCACTTTTGGGTGGAGTAACCTCCATATTCTCTGAGATATCACTAGATACGCAACCTTGTCCTTGAACTTTGTCCTCATCTTTTGGTGTTGATGGCTCAAGAACATTTGGCTCTTTGCTACTCTCGATTTCCTTCTCCATCATTAATTTTTGCTTCTGCCTTGTGCACACCATATCCGTCATGCCTAAGCCATCCCTCTGTGTGACAACTGGGGACCTCTGCGTTTTGTCAAGATTAAGATTTTCTGTGGGATTCAAATTATATTGACTGTCCTGACATGGCACGTTTTCTTCAACCTGCTTCGATTTTGAAGTGTTCAAAGGCCGTTTAGATTCTGGAGTACTCTGATTTTTATCAGGGCTATCTGACTGCGTTTCCACCTGACCTGGTGGGTTAGAAGACATTGTTTGTTCGGATGTACCTTTGGAGACTCTGTTACGCAGACATCTGTTTGAAGGGACAACATTTTTTACAACTTTTTTTGGACTGGAACCGTCAAGAGTATCCGGTACAAGCCCCTCTTCCTTACATTCTTCAGGTTGTTCCTTTGTAGTCATTTCCTCAACACTCAAATCAGACGCCCCTGACTCTGTTTCTTTATCTTGAGAGGGTTCGATATCATCTCCAGGTTTGAGATTAGTTTCAGTTCCAGAAGTAACTTCTATCTCAGCACTTTTATCTGTGCATGTCGTTACTTGCAAATCTACACATTCAGTTTCTTCTAGGGTCTCAGTTAGGAAACCTTTTTCTATACACGTACCTTCTAATTTGGAGGCACCATCTTTGGCCAAGTCCGAAGACGATGAGCTCTGCAGTGCCTCTGTGGCTACATTTTGATCCTGATCTTCTGTTTCTAATCCACTCAATATCACACCTGGTACAGGGGAATCTAATGTTTCCTTTGTTGTCAGCTCCACCTCTTGAGGCGCTACATTAGTATCTGCCACAATGGAATCTACAAGGTCTCCTTGATGGATATCAACGTCATCACTGTCAGCAACACTCTCGCATATGCCTGCATTTAACTCCTGCTGTACAGATGTGTCACTTTGCTCACTTTCAGCTGGACAAGAAAACTCTTTACTTTGAGTCTGATCCGTCTGACTGGTTTCTACATCCTCACTTGCCATAACATCTTCAGGAACTTCCGTCTCCGCTGGTTGATCTGAGGGCTTTTTGTGTATTATGGTTTCCATACAGTCCGCTGTAAACGGTATATCCATTGGAGGAACACCATCAGGCTTAGCTAGAGCCTGCTTTGGGGTGACTGATGTGGTCATCTCCGGCATAGGAACAGGGCAATTCCCACTACCATTCTCAGCAGACTTGCGTGCCAACGTTCGCACAGTTTTTAATTCACAACAACCCCCAATGTACCGGAATCCCCTTGTGCTTTTTCTAGCATTTTTTCGTGGAGTCATGCGAATTTGTGATTGCTGCTCACATTCAGTAATTGGTTTTCCAACATAGACAATGTCACATGTAATATCAGGACCATTAATAATATGACATCCTGAGCTATCCCTAAGAAGAGAGTGAGATCCCCTCCTACTTTTCCTAGCTGTTCTTGGGGAAATTACATTTGAGGTTCTTTCAACTGTACAGGATCTGGTGGTAGAACCTTTGCTGTGTACAGACAGGCTTCTTTCTACAGCACAGCATTTGGCTTCAGAGTGCCCTTGCCCCATAGATGAAGACAGCTCAATAACATTAGACTCACTACAACTTGCTTGTAAACGTATGTCAGAAGTGCACAGGCCCTGGTCTACAGTACCAGTGTTAACATGCTGATTGCCTGAACCCTCTTCCGTCACATTTTTGGCTTCAAGGCTGCCAGAGCTTCTATTTTTCACAATAAGGAGAGTCGGACATTTTGGCTGAACATCTGTACTTCTAGATTCAGCAGCTACCATGTCAGAGGATGCCGAATCTTCATCCTCGATGCTCGTCGTACTAAGATTTAGGAAAGGTCCAGTCTTAACTGAGGCAATCAGTGATCCCTCGGTTTTCAAGGGCAGCTCTGCATGTGAAAATTCATCACTCTTGACAAAAGGTGATTCTTGGATCCTAGATGTGCTTATTGCTACAGACAAAGCGCGTGTCTCCTCAGACCTCTGGTTCCTGGTCCGTTCTTCAAACATCACATGGCTGCTGCCTGAAGTTGTTGGTTTTTCTGGGGTGGCTGGGGAGGACGCCTGAAAAGTACTGGAGGAAGATACAGCCTTGACCTCAGTTTGCAAGAACCCAAATGCATCGACAACTTGCCGCTGGTGATGCAAACAAAGCTTAGCCATGAATTGTTCCAATCTGGAAGCTGATTGCAGATCCGTTCCTGTCAGATCCAGACCCGGATCTAAGGAGTCCCTAAAACAAAAATAAACAAATAGATATGTACATAAGACAACTTATTTTTACAGTTTAAAGCACCTCCCCTCCCACCACCCCAGGCTGGTATTCAAACACACAACTACAGTGGTTTGCGAAAGTATTTAGGCAAACAAGGTTCAGAGCAAGACAGGGCCATTGGATTGAAAAACATCTGCGAAGCTTAACGTTTAAAGTTGATGAGTTTTGCTTAAAGCATTTAGTAGCAAGTTGCATGGCAGTCAAAACAGGCAGCTCTTGGTCACAGCAAGCAATAAAACCTACCACACTCTTTGGTGATAGGAAACGTAGCCTAGCAACACTGCCATGCTATGGAATTAATTGTAATCCTGCTTGCAGGATTCATGCTGTTGCACCAGTGATTCGTTGGTGGTGGGCACTATAATCCAAGCACAGTCAGAGAGCACGTTCTACTGGACTCTTTAAAAATGCAGTTTGCATGACCAAAGAAATGGAATCTAATATCAAGCCAGCCTACCAAGGCATTATTGATTCAAGGTAATGAACTTTGGAGAACATTCCCCCGCTAATGCATGCTCCATCGGTCCAGAAATTCATAATTTGTCTAAACTCAGTCTCACCTTGTTCACATGTCTAACTATACAGATCATAAGTGACCTGCTTCTGTCTCAACATCTGTCTTGAGTGCTTTTTTTTACATTTACTCAATTATTTCATTAAACAAAAACTATTACTTTCAGGATCAGTTTTGGGCATCAGTAACGCTACAACGTCAACTCCTTGGTCATCGTAAAGACCTTTTATTTATATTTAATTTTAAATTGTATCAAATACAATAAACAGAAATAAACAGTGATCCTACCAATTTTGCACATTAAACTAATTCAAGTTCTTTGGCCAATTCTTATAAACAACAGTTTTTATAACATTTGCCATAGATTGTAAACAGGATCCAGAGCAGGGCTTTAGCAGGCCCACTTGCCCCCGTTTACACCTGGTCACTTCATGTGTCCTGAAAACACACCCAAGATGCACTTAAACCAGATACAAATCCTCAGACTAACTTTGGAGGCGATCTGAGACACATTTGAGCCACAGGTTACAGCAGCGTAAAGGTATTCGTCACCAGAGCACATTCAACAACCAAAACCCCTCCCAGTACAAATGAAATTCCTCCTCATGCAGTACGTCAGTTGGCACGTGACCCATGTCTGCAAGGAAGATAATCATGGAGGACCCACATGACTGGGGGCTGGATGAAACAAAATGCTCAAGAGCAATACGGATAAACGCTACTGTACAAAACAAACTGCAGATGAAGAGTCTAAAGGATAAACAATTGGTAACTGGTTGCCACGTAACGAGCGGATTTACATGTTCCATCCCAAACAGCAATTGTCCGACTAACCGGACACGTATCTGACTACCAAGTGTAAATGCATGTGGCTAAAACCTTGGGATACACTCCAGATACTACTCACATGAAGTGACCAGGTGTAAGCAGCATCATTAATGATCTTTTTCTAAAGCTACTCGAGGGTAGCCTTGGCATACATGGGATCATTGTTTCACTTAAAAAAAGGTATATTGCTGACTGAATTTCACTTTTCAAGCTTTCTAGTTCCTGTTGAAGATTCCATAGCATGAGACTGCCACCACCATGCTTCACTCTTGTTTGCTGAAATCTACTGCACTTTTTTTACCTTTAAAAAAAAATTCAGTTTTAGTATCATATTCTAAACAGCAATACAGTTCGCAAAAAGCTTTTCACCTCAGTGACGTAGGGTTTGAATACATCTTTGTGTGCCAATGTTGGTTAAGTTTATTATTCTTAAACAGTATCTCGATTAACTAACCTTGTAACAAATGGTTTTGTGAAAGTCTTTTGAGGGCTTCTGAGAGACGTGCTGTCCGGATTACGATTCTTCTTGATTGAGAGATCCAGAACGCCATCTGAAAAACATACGTGAATAAATTCTGAAGAAATCAAATGAGACTGTTCTGCTGGTCACGTTCCACAGATGACGCTGGTGTAGATATAATACCTTGCTCAATGATTTCCGGTTTGACTTTCTTGACTGAAAGGTCCAGGGGTGCCTCTTGGTCTGCCATGAGGAGCTTACTGAGGACAGGATTCTGTGCAGTGGCAGCAGCAGTAGCAGTAGCTGTAGCAGCAACGGTGGGTGATGTGACAGAGCAGGTCTTCAGCAGGCTTTGGTCCATGTTGCCATTGTGCTGAGGTGAGCCCTGAGAGTTGGTATTTGTATAATGCACCACTAGCTGATTAGTCATTTGCTGCATGGTATCACAAGCCACCACGGGGATGTGAGGATCTGGGATCCTTGGTGTGTATTCTGTGGGATGGCAAACAAGGTGCACAAAACATAAACAAGAAAATATGCAGAACCACAAAACTGTACACATATATGAAAAATTAAAATCCACAAATATGCTTTCATGTGAACCAACGGAAAAATAGATGAAGATGAAGCAAACGAGGGAACAACTAGCAAAAGAAAAAACAGGCTTGTGTAACATATGTGCTCTGCACATGTTCGCGAAACACGTCAGTTATGCGGTTAGCTAGATAAAACTTGACATTCTACGAGTGGAAACAACTTTCCGATGCACTCACCTTTCCTGTGTAAGACAGCATTGAGGAATTCTTCTACTTGCCACTCAAGTCTGCTGATATTAGATTGATCCTTGCCAAGTAAAGGTTTGCCTCCACTTTCCACAATTTTGTTATTATGTGCAACTACATGTTCCTGTAGGTTGCAAAAGAGAAATGAGCAGCAAACTTCAATTATAACATCATAATTTCCCATTTCAATTTGGCCTAAACCAGGGGTTCTTAACCTTTTTCAGAGAGTGGCCATTGTTTAGGGTGAAAAATATTTCAATTGAGGTGGTTTTGACAGTTAAAGTTTCTTGTTAACTAGATTGTTTTTTTTTGTGAGTGATGAGCGACAACAACATATTAACTAAGCAACGTTTCTGGATTTAGCTCACCTTTTTGATTTTTGCTGTCTGATTCTACCGAGGTTCACAAATTTGTTCTCACAAATAGGTTCTACTGCACTACAAGATCGCCTAGATGTACTCTGGTCAATTTAATGCAACTGCAACTGAATTCATTTCTCATGTTCTTTTCCTTTTAAGTGACAGGGATTTTTCTCACCAGCCACAATTATTTTATCCGTGTTTTATAAGGTATATGCAACCCCATTTCCAAAAAAGTTGGGACGCTGTGCAAAATGTAAATAAAAACAAAATTCAATGATGTGCAAATCATTTAAACCCTATATTTAATTGAAAATAGTACAAAGACAACCTATCAAATGTTGAAACTGAGAAATTTTATTGTTTATTGAAAAATTTTTGCCCATTTTGAATTTGATGCCAACACGTTCCAAAAAAGTTGGGACGGGGGCAACAAAAGGCTGGTAAAGTTGTGTAATGCTAAAAAAGAACACCTGAAGGGTTAATTGGCAACAGGTCAGTAACAACACTTGAAATGTTGTCTTTGTAGTATTTTCCTTTAAAATACGCTTTACATGACTTGCATATCATTGCATTCCATTTTTATTTACATTTTTCACAGCATCCCAACTTTTTTGGAAAATGGGGTTGTATATCTATAAATACACACATATTCTTATAGTACCACTCCTGCAAACCTGGAACCACATCACAACCCCCAGGTTAAGAACCCCTGTCCTGAACTATAGCTTTGTGCCTCTGAACACAACATAAATGTGCTAAATAACAGGTGGGGCTTATAAACAGAACAGCTAAATCATGAGAGGAAGAAACAAAGAAACAAAAAGAAACTACCTTCACTTTCTCTCGTCTTAAGCAGCAGAAAAGACAATTTTCATCAAATGACCAATTTGACACACTTGCAGGCTTATAATCTGTGGATCCAAGAGAAAAGTAAAAATTAAACTATAGAGGGTAGGAAATGACAATATCCTTAATGTGATTTTATTTGTTCTACTGCACACAAAAGTACAAATATTAGCCCTCTTTTTTATGTGTATTATATATGTACAATGTTCATGAACAACACAAAACATTTAAGAAAACATTCCATATTGATTTTTCCAGTTCTCCCGATTTAAGGCCATGGCATTTTCCACTGTTGAAGGTCACTCCTATCATGTGATAGGAAATAGCAAAATTTCTCACAAAAGTTCCTTGAAGCCCATTTTCACTTTCATCCATCACACAGTGCTTAGTGGGTGACCTCTGTGACCTAGCAGACTACCAAACTGTCTGATACATCACTAATATTGGGAGGACTCACAGGGAACTTACATTAATACCTGGTCATGGACAGCTTGCTGAGGTTCAAACTCAGAAGACAACCACAATAAATAAGTGAACAGGCTGGCTATTATCATTTCACACAGGAAAAACAACTTGCTATTATCTTTCCTCTGCTTAATAAAAAGTATTCACGTAGGTGACTAACGTTGGGTGTCGTCTGAAATGGAAGATTCGACTAGGGCTGTCGCCATAACCGCAATATTGAAATACCGCACTTTTGACCAGCAAACCGCAGGGGATGGCAAGCAACCCCCATAACCGCAATGTTCACGTTTTTCTCTTTTTTCACGATGCGAGGCCCTTCGTGTTTTACACCGCAGTGCATGGGTAACGAATGTTTAATAAATTAATAATGCAAACAAGAGCCAAGCGTGTATTTTTCCTGCCAACTATCTGTTCGCATCCCATGCTGTTGTCAGTCTTCGTTTTTTTTTTAAGATATAAACAATGGCAGCTGCTCTGGTCGCCAAAACAAATGCAACTTCGCCAGTTTGTGAGCATTTTGGCTTTCAACCAAATGAAAAGGGAGAGCCAGCCAATATGCAAAGTTTGTGCCAGAAAGGTCGCTGTGAAACGGGGAAATACATCGAATTTGAGGTCTCACCTAGCTACCTATCATCCAGCTATCGAAGCGCAATTGCCTCCACCAGCACCAAGTCGTGGAGCAGCCACAAAAGGGACAGCTCAGGCTGGTTCCAGCCAACAGTTAGGAGTGGCTGAATCCTTTGCGCGAGTTGCCAAATACGGCCGCGAAAGTAAGAGGCATAAATGCCTTACAGCTGCTGTTCCGCAGTATCTGGTTAAGGAGATGGTTCCATTTAGCACGGTGGAGAAACCTGCACTCAAGTCAATGCTTCAAAAATTCGACAAGCAGTACGAGTTGCCCGGCAAGACCTACTTCTCAGAGACTGCTGTCCCAAAAATGTACAACACTGTAAAGGCACTGGTCAAAGGTAAGCTCGAAAATGTCGACTACTTTTCTGCCACAACTGATATGTGGTCAAGTGTCAATATGACTCCTTACATGAGTCTAACGGTGCATTATCTGACCACGGACTGGGCTCTTAAATCACGTTGCTCTGAAACTGTGTTTCATTCGTTATGCCCCAAAACCAGACGTCTGACAATATTTCGGAAGCTCTCCATCTTGCATTTGATGAGTGGTCCCTAAATGAAAAGAAGCTGGCTTGTATCACGACGGACGCAACGGGGCAAACATCGTAGCAGCATTGAACAAGCTAAACTGGCCGTGGCTGAACTGTTTTGGTCACAATTTACATTTGTGTAAATTGCTAAGGACTGCACAGCCCAAGCAATGGGTCTGTGCCGCACCTTGGTCAGTACATTCTCTCAAAGCTGGTTGAAGAGATCCGGCAAAAGCCCAATTGGAGCTCCATATCCCCCAGCATGGCCTCATACTGGTAAGCTAGGAAGGTTAGAATATTTGTTTTATAGGCAAGTTTATTAATAACCAAATTGCTATGTGAATATCGAGTTCACACTCAATAAAATACTTGTCATTTAGGCTACATTCAAATTAATTCACATACGCCGGACTTACTAAAACACTTAACGTCAGTTAATGTGGCATTGCAGCCTGAGAATATTCTGTTGCTGGCTTGCTAGGATGATTTAAATATATTTTTTCATTTAATAAAAATATATTGAAATTAATAGGAACTTAAATGTAGCCTATATTGTGATTATGTTAATTTGGTCTACTACATAGAAGAGGACTAATTTCGGTCCTAATTTAATGGCCAATATTCTGTGCAGGACTGCGCTACAAGATGGGGCACCAAACAGAAAATGGTGGACAGAGTGTCGGAGCAAATCCCGACTATCAAACGAGTTTTGGATGAAGCATTTAATTCCGACCTGGCAGGACTTAGCTGTCCTTGAGTCTGTGAACGCCGCCTTGAAACCCCCGGCTGAGTTTATGGATCTGCTGTCTGGTGAGAGTTATGTTACCGTGTCATCAATCAAACCCGTCCTGAAACTCCTGACTGGAGATGTTCTGCAACGATCGGAGGAGGACACCACCTTGACATCGAACATCAAGCGAAAGACATGCAGTGTTCTCGAGGAGAAGTACGAACCAGCTGCCTTACAAAAACTTTTGGCAAAGGCCTGCCTGCTGGACCCCCGACATAGAGGGAATTATATTGATGACACGGAAGAGACAAAATACGCACTTGGCGAAGAGGTGCTGGGAGAGAAGGACGGAGGGAGCAGTGCCAGTGCGTCAGCAGTTGGAGAGAAAGAGTCCTCTGCGCAAGCGGCGGTGCCACCTGCAGCAAAAAAGAAGACTCTTGGAGACCTGCTGAAGTCACAGACAACTACCTCCGCGTTCATACCTCTGAGACCTCGAGCAGATGCCCAGCTCACACGCTATCTACAGGAGGAGCCCAGAGATTACAATGATTACAAAAGATCCGCTCGCCTGGTGGCACAACAACCAGGCTAGATTTCCTTTGCTCTCTGAAGTCGCCCGCAAGTAGATGTGTATTTGTGCAACGAGCACACCATCAGAGAGCGTTTTTAGCGGTGCTGGGAACATTGTTACCCCACTCAGGTCCTCTCTGAAACCACATAAGGTGAACATGTTGGTTTTCCTAGCGCACAACAAGGACATTAAAACGCAGGACTAAATCGTATATACTTTATTCTTTATGGTAAAGAAAAGATTTCATTTTCATTTATTTTTACCATATCTCGTTTAGATTTGCACTTAAAAGATTTAGCCTAAACAATCCGCTTTATTGATTTTTGTTTTACAATGTATATCAATGTATAGCTCCTCTGAGTAACCCGAGTGACGGCGGGAGGAGGAGGAAGATGACAACGGTGCCAGCAACCAGGGCAAGGAGCGAGTCCCGAGCTCTGCCGCCTGGGCCCCGCCCCCTGTTACGCAGCGAGGCTGCTTCACTACACCTCACGTTCGACCCGGGCGGCTGAGCTGCCAGCTGGGGGCGGTGACAAGGAGGCGGAGCAGCGAGCTCTCGTGTCCTTAATGAGAGCCAGCTGATTCTGATCTGGCTGGCAGTGTGAGCGCCTTTTAAAAGAGCTGAGAGGGAACAGAGAGAGAGAGAGGGAACGAGAGCTCGCTGCTCCGCCTCCTCGTCACCGTCCCCAGCTGGCAGCTCAGCCGCCCGGGTCGAACGTGAGGTGTAGTGGAGCGGCCTCGCTGCGTAACACGGGGCGGGGCCCAGGCGGCGGAGCTCGGGACTCGCTCCTTGCCCTGTGCCTCTTGTTGCCGGCACCGTCGTCGTCTTCCTCCTCCTCCCGCCGTCACTCGCGTCACTCGGAGGACCTCGGGCTTTGCGCTCCACCCCCTCCCCACTCGCGGCTCTCTCCCTGCCACCCTGGCCGAGGTTCGTCGCCGCTGGGTGTTCGGGCCCCGCCTTCCTGCTGGCTCTCGCGGCCGTCATCGTCGGGGCCCGGGGGGCGGGCGCATGCCACACACCTCATTCCTTATGTGTTCTGCATTTAACAATAAATGAGTATTTGTCTTTAAACTGTGTTGTCGTTGTCATTTAAAAGCCAACAAAATAACTAATAATAGCCTACCAATAAAGCTTATTTATACAGCACCAAAATCAGGATAAATTAAGTAATTTGCAAAAAACATAAAATGGCGCTAATACCGCATATCGCGGTGTTGAGCCACCTTCAATCACCGCAGGGAAAATTCTTTCACCACGACAGCCCTAGACAGACTAAAGTGCTGATTTTGACATCCCACTGTTTCTTGCATTAAACCAAGCTAGAGCAAAAGCTCTCTCCAGAGGATATATAATGCATTTATAATGACATTTCACTTAAAACAATGTGTAATAACACTTTACCAAAAGTTTCCAATTCATCTAGCCCAGTCAGTCTGTGTCTCGGTCTCACTCCAAAATATTTCTGTTCTTTAAATTTTTACATTGGCTGTTAGCAAGTATTAGCTAGCTAGCTATGTTATCATTAAAGTCAACCATAAAGTGAATTTTAGGCCGTAAGACGTAATTGGCCTGGTGTTGTGTCACCACCACATAAGGGGACCTGTGGAATACCTATTTTTAAAGATTAACATTAACAGAGTTCAGGTAGTGTTATTTAGGTTACCCCACAGAAAATAAAGTCCTTAATTTCCTTTATGACTTCTCACTAGGATGTTCTGATAGGAGTTGTGGCCTCATCCTATTTCTGGTATTTTTATTATGTTTTGTTTTCCATATTTTTTGTTTTGAAAATGTTTCCTGTGCATTCCAACGGGGGACTCTTATTTTGAATATAAACCCTGGTTTGGGAACAGGAAAGGGAAGTGTGGCAGACATTTTCATGGAGGGTCAAGTTTGGGGAAGACAGGCCTGGTGGGTCACTGCTGCTCAAGCCCTACAAAACTTTTACTCCTTTTCTACTCATCTTTGTCCTTGAAGAGTGGATCCCCCTCTAACTGTGGAGATACCTCAAGGAACTGGGTGAGCTCATTCCTGTTTTTGCATTGCTGGGCCCTGTTTTGATTTTTGAGTATTTTTGGGACACTGTTTGCTTGGATTATGGTGGTGGTTTGACATTTTTTGGACTTTTTTTGGGGGGATTCAAGAAGCACAATCTCTGGACTTTGAACAACTTTATGCCACCTAATGGACTTCTGCAGCAGATCTTATATTCTACTGCTTTTCTGCTTTGTTTTTTTTTTTTAGCTTTGTTGCTGGTGCCGTTGCTGATGCTGTTAGTGTGTTGTCTGTTCTGGGGAATATTAAGTAAATCTAGCTTGTGCAAGCTCTGTTGTATTCTGGTGCTCACATGTTTTTTCTCACCAAATTAGTGTTCGAATTTTATTGTTAACTGCTGAGTTTGGTCAGATTGTTACACTGTCGTGCTGTGCAACACACTCATTTTAATCAGTGTAGCTTTTCTCACTGGCTGTGCATGGAAAGCAGTACAGCAGCACAACGCTAAGCTTCAAGTCTCTTTTTTGCTGCTTGTTGCCAGAAGCATGTAAAAAATGTGCAACATTTTCACTCGCGCCTGGAGTAAAAAAATAAATAAATGGGGGGAAAAAAGGTTGGTTATCATAGAATCACTTACGCCCAATTCCTAAAATGAATTGACCCAACTTCTGTGATAACCACGGTATAATGGGAGCAGCAGCAGGACAGCAGAAATGTTTTACAATGGCTAAATAAAATCACACTGATAATGTAGAAAGCAATTATCCATTTGTTTATTATAACAGGCCCTCCTTCAGGCTTATTTCTTAATCCTAACACTACTTTAACAATATGTCAGCATCTCAAACTTTGCCGTAGTCCACTGAGCACTGAGATAATGGTGCTCAATGAAGGAAAAATACAGCCCCCTGGTAATATAATTAAAGCCAAGCTCAGACAAGAGCTTTCAATCCAGTTTGTTCATTAGCCTGTAAGTCTGCAACAATCAGTATGTGATTTGCAACTCTAGCAAAAATATAATGGACATGCATAATATTCTGATTACACTGCGTAATTGTGCTGCCACCACTGTGGTAAACAACTTAAACACGGACAGTTTAAGATAATGCCATAACTCATCCAGCAAAAGCGGTGTGCGTTTTTTAAGGGAATCCTTAGTTTAAATTTAAATGTTTAAAGGGTTTTAACCAATATATCTGAGTGTATTGCCTTGATTTCATTTAAACGGCTGAGATTTCCTGCTATATTACTTCTTCGGCGTCCCAAACTAAATAATAGCACACTAAACAGTATGTAAAACAGTGCAGTAGCCTTACACGTGCACTCATTAGTGTAGCAGGTGAACTATAGAAGTGTGTGGCTTGGGACACAGCTTTAGATCCGCCAGCGAGATGCATTCAACAGTCCGGCAGCTCCAGAGGCTGAGCATAGCTCATTAAACATTTCTGAATGAAAATTTAAGCTTTTTCCCTATTAAGGATGGGTTTATTGAGGTAAACTGGATGTCTACTAACGTTTCTGTGACATGTTGGCTTCGTTCTATACATAAGGCGCCTAAATAAAACTGCTGCACCATTTAAGGCAGAACGGAAAATTGGAATAATAAGCTTGCGAATAAGATGCCAACTCGTAACTGTGTTTCTTATTTAAGAGCTTTAGTAGATTTTTGGTGGCCAGTCAAGCTGATCATCTCCTCAGAGCACTAGCTAGAGACTGCATTTAAGGTGTCTTCATATCTTTTCACCTTTCTTGTGGTCATTCTGGTCTACTTTGTTTGGTCTTCATCCCCCTGCAAGGATGTATCTGCAGTAGTGGTGATTAAACGAGCACACAGTTACAGCTTGCCTATCCAAATGGCAGTGAGGCATTCTTAATGACACAATTAAATACTATAAACGGGCTATAAACACTGAACGGAGAAGTGCCATGCCACATACAGTGCTGGGCTGTCTGCACAAAGTGAACTTTAAGGTAGTTTTCACCAAGCTTCCTCCTGGAGATCTCTTCGTACACAGTTTAGTAACACCACATTACAGTGGACTTAAGACGACTTGCTCTCTATTAGGGCTGCAACAAACAACTACTTTGCTAGTCCAATAATCTATCGATTACTGAAACGAATAATCAATTATTCAGATTATGAATCACTAAATTACCAAAAAACTCTTATGTAGCTATCAGCTTTTAAATTTATCTTGAGGTTGTTTTATGCATTTGCTAACTAACAATGAAGACAATAAAGGTGAATAACATTCAAGAATTCACTGTTTTAATGAACTTTCCTGCTAATGCAAAAGATAAAAAATAAAATTAATATATTTTTCCTGTCAAAATTTATAACCAAGGATGTGCAAAGTAGCAACAATAAAATATAACAAAACGAAATCCTTTAATCAAGTAAAAAAACAAAAGAAATAATCTAAATTTAAATTTAAGTGATCTGTGTATTCTGCTGTCTGTCAACTCTCTGTTGCAACTAAATTCTACAATCACAGTCTTTATTGTAAAGTTAGCATCTCTCTGTGCTGTTGTGAGAGCCTCACTCTCCTCTGAGAGCGGATATTCCCTGTTGCAGAGATGATGTGCTCTGATGGAGCGGATGGGAAAGTGGCGAACGTTTGTGGAAAACTTGTTCCCTATGAACAGTTAAATTTGAACGATTTTGTGTAAACGCTTAATTTTAACAGTAACCCTTCGTCCAGTTGCCCTGTATGTCTGCTGAGAACTTCCACTTGAAACTGTTTAAGTGGTGGCTAAACATTCGCGGAGAACTGTTTGGAAACGCCCTCCTGTGTTTGCTGAATTTGAACGCACCGGTGGCCTCGACGTGAAGACGACGATGCAGTGTTCAACAGTTTAAATGTGTAAAGTGAACAGGGTCGCTGTGAATAAAAGTGACTTGCTTCTCTATTCCAGCTCCGTTAACCATTACAGACAGCAGCATTTCGAAACAGAAAAATGCTACAGCTCAGCTCGGAACATGAAGTAGGACGGCTTTAAACACCAACATTAGCTAAGTATCACAACTATCGCCGCGTCCCAAACCACACACTTCTGTACTTTACACACTACACTAATGAGTGCACTTCTAATGGTATATGCGCTATTTTTACACACTATTTAGTGAGATAGTATGCGGTTTGGGACGCGCCGTATCTTACAGAGATGAATCTTCATCCAGTGAGCTGACAAGTTTCCTCTTCAGATGCTCCAGCATGGAGGATCTGCTCTGTGCCAGCTGAGGTCGGCTTTACAAACAACACAATTGACAACGTTTTTTCTGAGTTTAGTGTGAAAAGCTCCCACACTTTTAAGGATTTTGTTCTTGAGGCTGCAATTGCGCTGTTAACTCTCCAGTAATCTGTGACGTCAAAACATTCCTAGTGAGCGCAAGAAAGACGCATAATGACGTCACCAACTAATCAACTACTAAATTAGTTCCCAACTAAGTTGGTCGTCGATTTAGGTCGAATGATCGTTGCACCCCTTCTCTGTAGAGAATGTTAAATATCTGGAGCGCTAAACTAAGAGATCCACGGAGGAAGGTTAGTGAGGACTGACATACTTATTTATTTTAGTATGTTACACTAGATCCTTGCTGCCATCTCTTTTCATCAAAATAAAGCACCAAATAACTAAGAACGAACTACAGCATCACCTCATCACAGTATTTCAAATGAAGGCCATTTTTTTTTATCTAGGTACACGTACCTTTGAAAAGCCTTAGGTCCTCTAAAATTCTTGTACCAAGTAATAATTCCAAGATTTTCTCAGTACCTATGTGGGACAGAAAGAAGACCATTGTGAGATGCACGTGAATTTCTTAGCCATGTTAAAAAAAAAAAAATAAACAAAAACAGTTTGGCAGCCTAGCATATTTTACCTACTGTGACTGTTATTATCAAAGAAAACACAAAGACTGGATCATAAACATGTACGTGGCAAAAAATAGAAAGGTTAATAAAAATGTTTTTCTTCAAGCTTTTTATCATTTATTTATAGCTGTTGATGCAAACATGGCCTGTAATCTGGCAAAGCTGTTTTTTCGAGAATGAAGGAAAAATATCATTTTTTGCACAACTGAAGACAAAAAGGCAAAAGCAGCAATAACCAAATATCAAACCACTGCTGTGCTGCACATCAAAACTATATCCTTAAGTTCAATGTTTAGGGGCGCGTGAGAGTTCTACACACAAACTTCCTGTCTCCGAGTGCTGGCAGGTTCTGTGGTTTCATCTGCCCTTTAAGATAAGCTGCACAAGTAGCAACAGAGCCGTGTATACATCGAGGCTTAACCAAGCAAACATTCATTCTGTATGAGGGATACTTGTTGTTTAACCTCTTATTCTCCAAGGTATATTTTGGTTTTTCCATATGAATTTCCATGACCAAATCATAAAGCAAATTATTCAGTAACTGCATGAAATAAATTTACATTTTTATTTTATTTAATTATTTATTTGAAGTAAAAGTTCCCCTCAAATTAACAGAACGTGTTTTATGATCTACACATATTGCTATATGCTTACAATTTGCTGCTGAAAGCCAAAAATCTTAGATGCTCTTTGTATTATTTTATAAAAATAATTTGTACAGAGCAGATCACTGAAGAGACGCCATCTGTTTATAGTTTATAACTCGGATTTGTGAAAAAATGAGTCGACTTTCAGTAGACAAAAAAAATTGAGAGTTCAGCTTCATTTATTATAAGGGTTTAATATTACATCACCCATCTATTTGACTGGAAAGAAGACAGTTACAGCTCTCATATGACCCCCACCTTTAGAATGTAGCTTATGAAATATGAAAGTTATGAAGAATATGACAAAGTGCGTTTTGGAACCACCGGTGGTCCCAAGGAGTTGAAGAGGTTAACATTGTAGGGTGGCTGCTGAAATGCTAAAATAAAATTGAGAATTATGTATTTTTAATGTTTTTGAGAATTACTTTTTTAGATTAAACCGCCTACAAGAGTAAAATTAAAAATTATGTTGCCCTAAGTGGCAGAACTCAATCTGAATATTTCTTTTGAACTGAATAAAACCAGTTAATTTGCATGTTGCTACAGTTTTTAGGTTTTCTTTTTAAGACAGACCATATTTTAGTGTGCAGCACCACTTAGTCAAGCAGTTAACCTTACAAACTTGTCTATAATCATTGTGATTATTAGCTAACTAAGCTGAAAGCGAGCAAAAAGCTGTCTAACATTGTTTTATTTATATGTTGCAGTCATCTCTCTCACCCCATTTTGTTTGGTAGACATCATGAGAGATGAAGGTGCTAACTTTGGAACATGCTGGCAGCAATATGAGGATGGTATGTTTCAGAGAGGCTTAAACAGAACTGCTACTTTAAGGACGTCAAATTTAGTTACTAAAAGGAAAAGGAACTGAGTGGAAATGAAAGAGAAAGTACTGGCTAGAATGAGTCGCAAATACTTGTACAAGCAACCAACATCAAAACTACTATTATCTATAAATACTGCACTGCGCCACCCAAATCATATCACCACAAAACATATGTGCTGCTAATACAGCTGGTAGAAACTGTACATAAAAAAAGAAAAGAAAGCTTCCATCCCTGGAAGAGGCTTTGAATTTCCAAACCAGCATGTGAGTTCTCATTCTCAGAACGACCCTCTGTGGAGGAGACTTCTCTATTACAGGGGAGTAGGGCTGGGCGATATTGGAAAAAAAGGAAAATCTAGATTATTTTCAAATTTATTAACGGTTCTCGATTCCGGTTAATTTTTTTTTTTGATTCTTGCATAATGCCATTGGAAAAATGTTTCATTACAAAGTGAGCATAATTAGGCCTGTTTAATTGGATTTAGTCCAGTGCAGTTTGTAAACCACTTAAAAAAAATCATTGTAATTGTAGGCTTATTACTATTATTATTATTGCTATTACTACTACAGCATTTTTATATGTGGCTCTACAGGCTCTATTGTGTTGGTTCCAACTTGTTAAATCTCACAAAAACTAAATTTCATGATGCATGAAAATGTCGAAGTATCGCAATATCATTTTTATGTATCTCTCTCTGCAGTAAATCTGAAGAATGCCTTCAGTAGACGTGGGCAATATGGCAAAAAAATCTAATAGAAACTTCCATCACAATATCCAATACGTCATGACATCTGATCAGTTGGAACAGAGAAAAAAAAACCATCAGTGCTACAATCGGTCATTTTTATTCAATATTTTGGACTAAATCCAGTTAAACGTGGCAAATTTTGCTCTGTTTATGATTAAAAATGCAGTTGCTGAGTGTTCTGATGATATAATACGATCAGAAAAGTATATTGTATTGTATTCAGACAATTTAATCACAATAATGATATATACCGTCATATTGCCCAGCCCTAATCCTCCTCAGCTCCACTTACAGGTGCAGAACAATATCACTACGTACTCCATACTCCATATGGTTGAACATACGATGAATCTGCCACTTGCTTCATAAATTACTGCAGAGCCATGTCTGTAATGTGGATGCTTAGAGGTGATAAGGACTTTCTGCCCAGAGCCTTTGTCAAACGTGTGATAAGAGTTGTAGACGGCTCACACAGCAGCGCGTGCTTTCTTTCTGCGGTCTACAGGGAAACCTTAAATAACCACAAATCTACCAGTTAAGACTAAAGACGCTCTGCTGTTTCTTGAGGAGTGGGTGTGGGGTTCAGTCGAACTGCAAACAAATGATCCTGAGCACCATCAGTAAGATGCACTACCACTGATCGGTTCTAGACAATGGAAATCTGAACGCAAAACTAGCCCGGACACGAGGCAAAGGTGGAAAAGCCAGCACTCCACAGCTTCTTTCTATGCTGGTCTTAGTCAGGCCTCCCTTTCACGCTTACAGTTGGTCTGGACTGAGCATCTTACAGTTCTTCATCAATAACACTGATGCGATGCAAGTTTTGAGTGGGGAAATTTTAGCTAATAACATGGAGCTTGTGAACTCCTATGACCGCAAATACCCCGCAGGCTGGCGCACCATGGTAACAGTTCAAGTCTCAAGACAGAAAAAATATAAACGCTGGTCTTTTTAGCCAGAAAAATAGGCCGTTATAAACAACTGCAATTTAAATCATAATCGCTATATTGTTTAGAAAAATCGCAATTGAACATTTTACCATAATCATTCAGCCCTAGCCCCCAAACTGTGGAATGGGTTGCCTTTGCATGTTAGGTTGGCTCCTACACTGTTTCAAAATCCTGTCTTAAAAAACTTACTTGGCTTTTGACTCAGTGTGAGAGCTGCTCATCTATCACGTCATTTAAAATCTTACTGGTCGTATTTATTCTATTTTTTATTATTATTTAAGCTGGTTCTGTGTCTTATTGCCTGTTTTATGAGTTTTCCTACATTGAGTGTACAGCACTTCATAGAGCTTTGTAGTAATGGCGATTTTTCTGACTAATATTGCGAGAGCGATTATTTTCTAGAAATTGAAGTTCAGACCAGTTTTTTTAACCAAGAAGACCAGAATATCCACTTTTTCTGGCTTGAGGCTTGACCCCTTAATGTGGTGTGCCAGAAAGCCAGTAAGTTGAGGTTGTAAGGTCACAGGTTTGGTTGAGGAGGGGTCTCACTATACAGGCAGTATACAACTCTGGGTTATGAGGTTAAATTTCCCTCTTAAAACTCAGGACAATGCTATTGATAATGTAGGCTATGATTTATAGAGTAACTACACCCCACCATGTCCAGCTGACTCCACCCCTGGCACAATTTGAAAAATGCTCTTAGGAAGAGCACTGCAGTGATCTACAGGTTTGGAGGTGGGGCTGTGAGGGAAACCAGGTGGGCTGGGCTGCTGTGTTGTTATAGCTAACATTAGCTACCAGAAAATATGGAGAGAAAAAGAGTCAAACGGCACTTTTGGAACTGAGAGTCTTACGAGGTTGACAATTTTTCTCTACTACCATCCCCATCTTCGACGAGGGAAGGTGTTTCTGATTAGGCAGTGAATCTTAAGCCGTAACAGTATGAGCCACTGACTCAAGCCACCGAAGAGTTAATGTAGTAAAATGATTAACAGCGAGCGGCAGAGGCGCCAAATGCTAGAACATTCCCTAAAACAGTGACCGCTCGCTTCTAATGATCTGTTCAGCAGGTCCATATTCGATATGACCCGAGCCTGATTTCTTAGATGCCCTATATTCCGAATGAATACAGTGGATTGCTCTGAACTCTAAGTTTCATTCAGTTCGACATCAAGGTCTCAGACTGCATCACTGGTCAGCCAGGGTTTGCTGCAGTGGCCCTAAATCCTTCTGCTCTGCAAGCTGTCCATGGCACTTATCGGTGTTACATCCGATTCAGTTCCCCCTCAAATTCATGTCGCCCTGTATTAACCGAACCCTCGGCCGCACTCACTGAACAGAAATCAACGGCAAGCAGCGCTGGAACTACGGAAAGCAGGAAAAACGCCTGAGAAAGGCTGTACGGACGAAAGGTTAACACAGTCGGTAAGCCATTTAACGTTAACCTTTCCTGAACCGTTTCGCTTTCCGTAATTCCAGTGCTGCTTGCCGTTGATGTCTGTTCAATGAGTCACTCCAGAGTTTGATTTGTGAAGGAAAACATGACTCCTCACTTAATCAGTCCTTCGGGTTACCTAGTCATGCGTTGAACATTATCAATCTTTATAACAAACTAAGCTCAGATTAACTGGGTTATTTACAGTTGGTACAGACTGGCGTATCGCAGCCTTGTGAGGTGGTGCGGGGGGGTCTTTAGCTCAGCGCGTGAGTGTGGTTATCTCCGCCCT